AGCCGCAACAAATGTGCAACATGGGTGAGAACGGACATAAAAAGCAGCCTCGCATGAGGGGCACCACTGATTAGTATCAAAAGGATGCCCAGGATGTGGATGTGGATGATATAGTACAAGAATGTTAGTGTTGTTGTTCTTGTTGTTGCTGATGTTGCTGATGTTGGTGCTGTGCCTGTGTTAGTTGCGGTTGATAGTCGCCGTTTGCCCTGCAGCTAGCGCCCAAACAGCAGTGCAAAAACTTTTGATTAAGCCACAGTTATGGCAGGTTGTTACGAAAAGACAGCCAACGACAGAGATAGAGAGAGAGGGTGAGCGAGACAGAGATTGAGAGAGAATGGGAGTGGGAGAGGTAGTTGTAGCCTGCCCCTAAAAGCATGCTGCATGCTATTGTTTTGCTTGCTAGCTCGTTAGTTTGTTTTGCTGCTGCACGCTTGAGGCGCAACATTGTCTCTACTTTTAGAGGTGCTTCTTCCCCTTTCCACCGCTTCTAAACCCCATTCTTTGATGCCAGTGACAAATTTTGCAGAGCGCAACTCTTAACTCTATATCAGCAGCTGCACACAAAAAACTTTTGCGTAAAACTTTGATGATTTTTGATAAATATAAAAAAAAGAAACACATAAAAGTAAAGAAACATATACATTATTTATATGTATATATATATAAAATAAAAAGGGACGAGTTGCGTTTTCAATAAGCAAACATTGCTTAGAGCAAAAGCGATGAGTATTACATTTCTATCAACAGAAACTTGTGCTGCACTCAATTCGAAGCCAGTTTCCAAACTACGAACGTTGCTCATCATCAGCAACATCATCATCAGCAACATCATCATCATCATCATCGTCAACATCATGATCACTATCGTCATGGTAGTTCCCGCTGTTGAAAGCATAATAAAAATCGCTTTTCATGTGGCGGATTTTTTCTCTCTTTCAGCGTTAGCTGCTGCTGCCATAACAAAGCCATAAAACGTAGTTTTAATTGCATTTTCGTTGTACCCATTTTATGTAGTTGAGTTGGTGAATGCATAAAAACAACAAAGCGCAACTGACCAGGGAGACACACTTGCACACACACACACACACACACACACACACACACACACAGATACACTGGGGGAGGTAAAGCGGGGTAGTTTCGGCAGCACTGACTTGGCTCAGTTCAATAGACGGCGCCGCATTCTAATTGCAGCGTGGGGGGGGGGGGGGGCATGCAGATGTAGGCACTTACGGCTTGACTGGCGACTCCTTCTCCCGCTTCGCTTTGCATCATAAACTAACGCAGTTTATGTGGGGTTCATGCACCCAATACACACACACACAGACACTCACACACACAGACACTTGGAGAAGTTGGCAGTTTGGCAGTTGGCACTTTTGGCATTGCATACGCGTAGGCGGCGTCGCTTCGACTAGTCCGCTATGACATGCACGACTTGCCCAGGCGCTAAAATTTGCGGTTTAACATTGCCAGTGGCGCCTGGATAGTAACCCCTACCCTAAGCTCCCCTCCATCTGTGCCCCAACTGCCGCAGTGCTCTTTGTCAACGGCTCAACACATTGTCATAAGGCTAATTGTGTGCTGAGACATCTTTTCGGACCAAGTCAAAACATTTTGTCGGTTTTTTTTTGGTTTCTCCTCCTTTTATATTTATATATATATAATTTTTTCTGTTTTTTGCCAGCAAAAGATTTAATTAACAATTTGACTCTCAAAGGCTTCTTAGAGATGTGGGTTGCCACGCATTTTGGCTTTTGGCTACATTTAAATTTCAAATTATGTGCGCTAATTACGCAGTCACCCTCTCCCGTCGCTCTCTCTCTCTCTCTCTCCTACTCTCTCTCTCATACACACAAGCACGCAGGGAAACCTTTTTGCTACCCATAATTAGTAGGGCCTTTGTGCAAAGCGAGCGTCTGAAATGAGAATGAGGAGTCCAAGTTGTTAGCAATGTGGGATTTCCGAGATGCCTTAGGAATGTTGGCTCAATCATGCTCTCTATTACCAGTGAGTTTGAGTGCTTTATGAGCTATGTATTGCTGCGTTTATTGTTCAATAGCTATACAGTAAGCAAATGTTGGCTTTCGTTTAATGCCTTTAGATGTGCAAATTTGTATATTGAAATTGAGCTAAGAGCACTTGAACATTTTCTTATTTAATTTTTCTGCAGAGTTTTAATTGCGAATAATTTAACTCTTTTAAATTGAACTTGGTCTACAAATTAAACTACTTTCATGACGTATTAAATGAACTTTGTTGTTTAAGTTTTTGTAATAAGATTTTGGAATCAGCTGAAATAGTGTTATAGTAGAAACAACTCCTTTCTGATGATTGCTTACTATTAAAGACAATAGCAAATTGAGGTCAAATAGACCCTATGCAGTACAACGAGTTCATTATCCAACGACTGCAATCAAAAATGGCCAATATCATGGCACAAAAAACTGAGCACAGAAGCCAGACAATTATGTTGCCTTAGACTCTGGACTCCATATGCCACAGCAACCTCATGTAGGTTTATATGTGTGTGTGTGTGTGCGTGTGTGTTTCTTGGCATGGTGTTGTTTTTGCATGCAGCAGCTACAACAGCTGCGGGTGCCGACGTTGATAAAGCATTCAGAAGCGGCAGGCGGCTGGCAGTCAGCTGTAAAAAGCGTTGCATGCAACAATGCAACGAAGCTGATGATGTCGAGCTGATGTCGATGCTGTTGCAGGAATTGGGGTTGAGGCAGAAGCTATTTAGCTGCTCGTTGTGGAGAAGATGCCAGTGTGTGTGTGTGTCTGTGTATAGCTTGCTTGAGCTGGAAAACGTTTTCCAATTTATTACCCCGGCCACATCAATCATTTATCCAGCCCACAGATGCTGAAGCTGGCCCCTTGCCCCCTGCCACATGACAAACCAGACCGCAGTAGCGTTGCTGAACGTGCGACTAAATGAACATTTTTGGTTAAACATTGGTTTAAATTTTGCGGCGTCATCGCCAGTACACAGACCCAGACCCAGACCCAGACACAGTACCCATTACCCAGTATCCAGTACCCAGTCGCAGTGGCAGTGGCAGTCGACAACAACAATAATACTCCTGCATCCTGTCACTGTCAACAACATGGCGGTGTTGGCGTCGCCGCTGTATACAAAATCAACAAGGCTTCAGTTCATCGACCACTTAATTTATCCAGCTGAGCTTTGAGTAAAGGCAAAAGCGACGCCAATTGCGGTGTGTGGGATGTGGATGTGGATGTGGGCAATGAGGCGTGGCCGGCGCATGCCTTTGGCCAGACAGAGAAATGCACTTAATTGCCATCACCCAGTCGCCCAGTCGTTAGTTGACTGTTTAGCTCTCTCTCTCTCTCTCTCTAGCTATCTCTATATATGTGGCTCTCTTTTGGTAACGTTGGCATTACAATTAAAAAATCAGTTGGCCAAAATAAAACGCAGCATGCATTTAGGCGCACACGGACGCAGTCAGATTCAGAGTAACTGCTGTCGCGTAAGAGGTGGTGGAGGATGTGGATGAGGATGAGGATGAGGAGGAGGAGCAGAAGGCAGCCTCTTTTAGTCATTCATTATGCATTAATGTAAATACGGTAAATGTTGTCCAATCATTAACATAATTGAATTACAAACAAGCGGGCGCCCAAATTGGGGTCTTGTTCATGCGCATGCATAAATCGCAATTTTAATTACTTGCTCGACTAATGGATTGTGTGTTACGGGCTAGCAGAGTCGTATTACCAACTGGCCGGCCAACTAAAAACTGTTACTAGCCCCAAAAAATAGTAGCAAACAAGCAATGTACAGCTGTCCCATCCTGTTGCTGCAACACTCGTCCATTAAATATTTTACGACACACTGAAAAACGTGCAGCACGGGCGCATGAAGCAATTGAATTTTGCAGTTAAAAGCTTCAATCATTTTCAATTGCCGCAAACTAATGGCTGATTATAAAATATGCATGCGAAAGGCGGGCAACGCCTGGTCTCCGCCTATATCTCCGCCTCCGCCTCTGTCTGTGCTGTACTGAGCTCTGTTGAGTTTATATAACAGAACTAATGACAGGAACGAACGACTGCGACTGATGAGCCAATCTAAGGTCTAAGGTCGAGTTGAAACCAAAATGACACCTGGTCCTTTAATGCCATGCCTGTGTGTTACGAGCAATCATCAAATGCTGCTTGCGCTCTACTTTTATTGATTTGCTTGGGTTTTGCGGTGCCGGAACGGAGCCGAAAGCCTCCAATTAAGTTTTATTTTAATGTATTTCATTTGAACGTCTTTTAATGGCATTTTTCGTATGGCAGCCATATTACTCATTTGCCATAAACCAAAAGGTGACCACAACACGTAGCTCCCATCTCTCCACTCACTGGCATCCTTTGTTGGGGCGAGGATGTGGCTGTGAATGCTGGGATGGGGATGGTAATGAGAATGGGGATGGGCGTTAAGTGTTGCCCGCCAGTCGACGTTCAATGGTCGCAGAGTCGACATGGGTCGCATGGGTGAGATTTAAGCTTTAATGATGCATGAAGCGGCACAGGATGTGGCTACCCAGTCGTGGGTAAAAGGCAATGAGCGCAAATGTGCAGAGAGACAGAGACAGATATACATATATATAAATTTATATATATATGTTGAGATAGAGAGAGAGAGAGAGAACGAGGGTGTTGCCGAAAGATGGGCTTGCATATTGAGTGGCATTAAAATGCTTGAAAATGCTGTGCTGTGTCGAATGTTTTGAAGGTGTTTATGAAGAGTGCTACATCATCAAAAGTTGATGGCAAATTTGTGAAATTGCGAAATTGAATTTGGCTAATGGCGCTTTTCAGTATCTGAATTTGAGTGTAGATAATTGACATGTCTTCAACGGAATGAGTAATGCAAACTTTCAACTTCATGTATATCAATAACATTAGTTTCTAGATTTGTTTGAAAACTAAGTGCTTATCTTACTTTATCTAATATTTATTTTATTTGTATTTCTTGTTTTTTGCAGATGAACCGTGCTTTACAGCTGAAGCCAGCTGAAAATGAAAGTCGCAGCGGTAAGTAAACCAAATCAAATTCAAAGTTATGACCCTCCAACAAATACATAATTTAATTTTTCCATTTGGCAATTCAATTTGCCGCTTACCAATCAAGTCGCCATAGGTGCTCCCAAATATAATTACTTTACTGCCAAACACATTCACAGCTGCCCAAAACTTGACCCGTCGTCTTTGTGTAAGTTTTATTATTTTTTTTTTTTTGGTCTGAATGGAAGGGGATGGGCAGGGCTTTCTTAGAAAAAGTGCAGCGTCAACGAAACTTTTTATTCACACCTTACCTAAGTAGTTGCCAAACTCGAACTCGAACCCGAACCCAAACCCAAACCCCAAAAGTTGAATTTCGTCGTCTTCTTTTATTTTCAACACCTACAACACACGTCAGCTGAAATTACGAGCGCGCTTCGATAAACTGTCAAAACTGTCTGCAAAAATTTGACATTTAACAAAAAAACAAAAAATACAACACGTTCAGTGAAAAAAAATCAAAATTCTAGTATACCAATGCTCTCTGCGTGTATATAGAAAATGTGGGGGAGACATAAAAAAAAGTTCTAGCAAAACAACGTTGAACTGTCAATAACAGGGAAAAGCTGGCGGACAAGGGAGCTCTGCTGTGCCCTGCCCTGGTCAGGGCGCCATATTGTTTTTACTGGGCTGTTGTCATGTTTCACGCTTGTTTCTGACAGCATAACCCCCAAGCCCTCTCTCTCCCTGCAGCGGCCTGCTGAGTCTACGTAAGGGAAAAACAGATGGGCGAAGATTTGCATAATTTACATAGCACTTGATTTTTTGATTTTTGGGTCATTTTTCGAGTAGTTCTTGCGTTGATAAACTTATTGACAAGCTCATTATGCATAAGACAGGCAAATGGTTTTCTAAAAAAACATATTGAGAGCATAAAAACTTATTTACTTACAAAATATTGCACTTAATGAGACTTCAAAATATTACGCGAACGTAAGAAGATAAAAATGAAATTTATGCGAAAACAATTCCCATCTATTTAATAACTTGTACTGAACACACAACTGATAACTACCTTAAAAACATTATTATGTAGTGTAAAACGTAATTTATTTGTGACGTTAGCAAATTATGACATTAATCAAAAATATCACCTGGAGAATATGAGCCATGTGCAACTCAATTGATCAAATCTGCCTCAATTTCATACCGGACTTTGCAATTTAGTTTTTCGAATACTACTCTTAAATTCATCGCTTTTTTAGAGAACCGACTTCATACGATTCGCATTTTTTGTGGGCAAAAAAAGTTCGCCAGCGAATTTTCGTTGAACTCGGGCTGGGTGTGGGGGAAGGGTGCAGGTGGAAGCCACAAAAGTCAGTGCACTGCGCGCAATCTTTTAAGACATTTTGCAGCTGGCAATGCTTATCAAAGCAGCGCAGCAGCACCCAAAATGTCCATTGCACAAATTGCTTGTGCACACACACACACACACACACAAAGTAAAAGGGAATGTGAAGCCATTGCTCATAATAGTCAACGTTGACGGTCGGTCGACGGTCGCTGTGGCAAAAACTTGACAAAGTTGATGTGTCAAATCAGCAGAAGGCAAGCTGAGTTGCGAGCAGCGAGCAGCGGAGGACTCGAAACTCGAAGGATGTGCCACCAGCTATACAAACGGATGACCTTTAAACTTTGCCAAAGGACATGAAAGCACTAATCGTTACGTTGCTCCCTTCTTTCATTCATCCATTCATTCAACGTTCATTTGCCAGTTGCTTCGATTTTACTTCACTGCTGCTGCTGCTGCCGTTGAGCTCTGAGAGCGCTTGGCGGCAACAATTTAAACTTTTCTAATCCGCTGGGGATTCAAACTTCAAGTTGCAGCAGTGGCAACTTGGCGGCAATCTGTCCGCACAATTGTGCTGCTCTTTACAACCATTTCTAGTCCAGAGTCAGGGCCAGAAGCCAGTTCCAACTCCAGCACCCAGCACCAGGCCCATTAGGAACGCAATCATGTCGACATTTTTGTTTGTTGCTTTGTTTGTATTCGGTTCTCTTGCGCTGCGAATATCTCTGCTGATGCTTCTGCTACTGCTTTTCTGGCCAACAAATTTCGAAGAAATTAAAGGGCTCAACTTTCTGGCCCGCTATCAGCAACGCACTTGGCAACTCAACAGCTAGCGACTTTTGACTTTGGCTTTTGTCCGGGCCCAAACGCCTAAACCTAAACGCAATTATCCAAGGACAAGTTTAATTGCTTCGTTGAGAGCTCGCCAAAAAGACTTCGGCTGCAACTTTGCCGCTGACATTTGCATTTTTCTTCTTCATTTTATTTTTTGTTTGTTGTGCTGATGTAAGTTTTCATTTAACTTTAATTTATTTAAAATCAAATCAAGCATATGACATGTGTGCCTTAAAGACTTACTGACTAAGACTTTCTTACCAAACATTAACTAATATGTAACTTAAAACTCAAAGCTTAGTAAAGAAAATACAAAAGATGACCGCCACTTTTGTTTTTCAATAAAGTAAGATTTGTTGCATTTTGCCTTTGTCTGTGTCGCATACGTAATTTTCTGTGTGCCATATCTAAGCTCTGATTACTTTCGTTTCATTTGCCACGACACACGCACACTCAGACACACACATGCACACACATATACACACGACTACACACACGTTTAGTTATTTATCTTGATATTCTCGCCGTCGCACACATATTCATGTTTCATCATTATCAAACTCATATTGTCGCCAGTTTCGTCTTCTTCATCGTCGTTGGCTTCTAGCTAGCGTCTCTCGCTTTTACGCGTAATTTGTACTTGTCTCACACGTAATGATGTCACGTAAATTGCATACGTTGTGACGTTACGTTGCGTTGCGTATTTTTAAACTGCACGCCCACAGCCCCGGCAAATTGAGCAAAGCAAGCGAGCAAGCGACCCAGCAAGTGAGCGAGCGACTTAAAGTCAAATTAATATTACTCATACGCAGCGTACCTCGTACAGTCTGTATGTATAAGTACGTAAGTGTGTGTGTGTGTGTGTGTGTGTGTGCGTGTGTGCGTGTGTACGCTCTATCTCTTTCACGTTCAACCTCTATCTTTTTCGCTCTCACATTAATCAATTGTGGAATCCGTGCCATTTCCTCGAACGCAACACAGATTTATGTTTCTAATGCGCATTAATTTCCTTACCTTCATCCTGAGCTGAGCTGAGTCTGTCTGTATGTGTGTGAGTGTGTGCTGTCCTGTGTCATACGTCAGTAAATCAGGTGACTGCTGCCTGGCTGCCTGTTTCCCGTCTCGCCTCATTCATCATACTTATAAATATTCATTTCCTTTACCGCGCTGTGCCCAAAAATGATTGCAAAAGATTAAAAATCAACTCCATAAAAATATGCGCACACATTTCCAGCGTTGATAAATTACAAAGTAAATTAACAAAAGCGGACAGCCTGAGCGAGAAGGAGATGGAGAAAATTAAATACACAATTGCTCTGTCAGTCCGTCCATCCATCCATCCATCCATCAGTCAGTCAGTTGGAAAGCGTATGTGAAAATGGGCTTTTCTCTATACTTGTTCGCTTTTTTCTTCTTATCGATAACGAAACAAAAACTTTGAGCGCCTCATTTTCTGGCTGCTCAGGCAGCCTGATTATTATAGACAACGCCTCATCAAATTGAAAAGCAATGAACTATGAAACAGCCAGAGAAAAACTAACCCTAACAACAACATCAGCAACACTCCTAATAAGCAAGAGGCGCAAAAGTTTCTCTGGGCCAGCATCGTGGAGCTGGAGGGATTGGAAGAGGAGGAGGAGGAGGAAGCGAAAAACTAATAATAATAATACGCAGCGTTGCCTGCAAAAACTTTTCTCATTTGTGCACAGTTCTTCTTCAACTCCACCCACTCACTCCGCCATCTGTCGATATCTCTATCTTAAGGTTGCTGCTGTTGCCAGTTCGCATGATTACGCATTTGAATTGTATTGGCGCCAATTTGTGCTGCCTACTTTTCGGCGACGTTGGCCAATTTCATTATCGACACTTTACCTGTCCTGTCCCATCCCTCCTAATAAAACTTGGCTTATTAGCGCGCATCAAAACGGAATGTTTATAAGTTAGAGTGTATGCCAAGTATGATACACATTTTGATGTGAGCAATAAACTGAAGGGGCGACAAAATTCAATTGAATTTATATTGTGATATTTAGTACAACATCTACTTGAGAGTAGATTGGAACTCGCCTGGCGAATGATGATTGGCTTTGGTCTTCGGTTTGGCTCAAAGCAGGCGGCGCAAATTAAAAAATTCACCAGTAAGCCCAATAACAAAGCCGCACACAGACAAAAGGCATAAATAAAGGCCAAAGAGGCTAAAGGCAGAGCCTAAAAGCAGACATCAATTTCTGCTTTTGCTGCTGCTGCTGCTGCTACTGCTGCTGCTTTATTCTTTGCGTTTTCTTCCCATTCTCGTTCTCGCTCCCCGCAAATTCTTTAATCAGCTTAAATTCACACGTACAGAAAGCGACGTATAGCCATTGATTGGAGGCTTACACATCCACCACATCCGCTCCCACACTGCTGTCCAACAATCTTTATATATTCCTCTGCTCTATCCTTCCCCTCCTCCCTCCATCTCTCTCTGAATCCTCTCACACTTTCTTTTCTTTTTGTGCTGCTTTTATCAAAGCCAGTTCAAAGGCGCGTATGTGTATTTAGGCTTTTATTGTTTTTGACCTTTTCTTATTTTTTTCTGTGTTCGCTCGCATTTTTTGACAACAAAAAATCGATTTTGCACACATACACACTCACAGACAGACGCCTACGCACAGCGTAGCAGCAGCAGCAGCAGCAGCAAAAAGAAATTGTGAAGGAAATGCTTTTCTCCCAAATAAAAGTAAATCACAAGCGGCAGGCTCAGCAGCAGCAGCAGCAGCAGCAGTCGCCGCATTCACAAGTTCAAATAAGCGATAATAAGTATTTATATGCCCGAAAAAGTAGGCAGCACATTTTTTCTCTTTTGCTT